CACACACACACACACACACACACACACACACACACACACACACGCTTATCAGCAGCATCTCAACAGGCAGACACTAAAATGGCACTCAGTTGAAACAAGTGGCATCAAGAAAATAAAAAGACTGACCCCAAAATGTAATGGGTTCTTTCTTGGTCCATCTCATCTTTCCACCAAGTTTTATGGAAATTTGTTCTGTACTTTTGTACAATCCTGCTTACAAGCGATCAGACAAAGGAGAAAACATGACCTTCTTAGTAGAGGTAACAACATAAAGCAACAGGACATTTAACATTTCCTTTTTTTAATTTCTGCAAAGCCAGTGATGTACAGCTTTATTTATTTTAGACTGATTATGATTAACTTCATAATAAATTACATTTGAAAGTCGTAGGCCACAATCAGCGGACTGTGTACATTCATATTCATTAGATTAAATCTTTTTATGCTGCTTGAATTAACATAATGAATGATGACACTTTAGTTTAATGTAATCTAGATTTCTCCAATCAATTAATCACTGTAATAGAGAGAAGGTCATCTACAGTACAGAAACAACAGAATAGGCCCTTTAAAAAAGACACATCATTTTAAAGGGAAAAAAAAACAAACAAGACAAAAAACTCAATCACCAGCACGGAAGAAAAAGAAAATATAATGGTGTACCAGTAGATCAACTGTTTTGACACACTGATATTATTAATTGAAAAGACAAAAACTACTCAATGCTTTATTCCTGTGCACTCATCAGCATAACATTACATAAATATCACCAGAAGATGCAAACACATTGAGGAGTTAAAATCTGGGTGGAGATGTTCTTGTAGCATCGCTGAACATTACAGCAAGAGGGGTTAAAGGTATAATTCAATTAAAGTTTAATGTGTATAGCACCAAACCACAGCAAACATTATCTCAAGGCACTTTATATAGTAAGATAAAGAAGCAGCACAGCAGACTGTGATGGCCGCGGTGCTGCGCTCACATCATGTGGGATGAACAGAAGCGTCAGGACAGATTGTTTATGACATCAGACAGCTCAATATGCTGAATGTGATCAGATGTGGAGACACAAGCAAAGAGGCTCACCCCTGTTCACTCTCATCAGATGCCCACAGTCTGTGTTGACTTCACATGTACACTAGATGGAGCCACTCATGCAGTTCTCCATTCACCTGATAATGGTTCTGAAGTTTGAAATGGGGTCAAACGAAAGCAGTGGTGCACATGGATTGTGTGGATGGTGATTTTTGAACTTGTTTACATTATAGATTTTACAGCTGTTGTGACCAACAACTTCAAGTCTTCCAGACATGCTTATAGGCACATGAGCTTTTCCTATCATAACAACTCAATGTATATCCATCTATATCATCGTTTACACTTATTCTTCCTTTCTATCTTGTCCTGTATGTGCATGTGTGTGTGTGGTCCAGGAGTAACCTGTGTTGTGGAGGCCTAAATCTGTTTACACTGTCTTTATTTGTCTCTAGTTTATGGAGGTTTTCCTTATGGACACACAAAGCAAGTCCCCATAATGTAAATCATTAAAGTTGTATGGTTGGTTTAATGTTTCAGGTTTAGGTTGAGGGTAATGGTGGAAACTATGGTTAAGGTTAAGTCTCTAGGATATTAACGTAAATCAATGTAATGTCCTTTGAAGTCACGGAGACTCAACTGTGTGTGTGCATTTGTGTGTGTGTGTGTGTGTAGTGCAGCAGAGAGGAAATCACGTGTCCTCTCACTTATCAGCTCTGCCATATGCTGCTTTATGTAAAAGCAGAGTCTTGTTGCGAGGCCATATGTCAAATCAAATACGAACAGCAAACAAATAAAACCAAAGTGGATCAGTTTTCTCTGAAACAGTTCTTTAACTTCAGATGTAGGTTTAACACAATATGCGTTCACATAAATACCTATTATATTGCTACTGTTATTGATTATTGCAAGATATCCTCCTCTTTCCAGTCTGTAAAGCTGCTGGTGCATGATGCTGCTCTGCTGTCTGTTACTATTATTACAGTGACGTACCAGATTCTCTCTGTTCTGACAATAATATCTTTCTCTCTAGTGTCACATTCACGCAGTTCCTGTCTTTTCCGTTACTCTTTTGCTTCCATGTTTTTATTCCTGTCTTTGTTCATCATAAAGGCTTCACTTTATCATTGTGGTCTATCTGTTCTCTCTCTCTCTCTGGTTAGGATTGAAACTAGTTTTTAAAGAATTTGCAGAAAACTGGTTTCTTGGATGGGATAGGATGGACCAATGTGAACCAGCCAATCACCTGACCCCACCTGTCTCAGCTCAGACACACAAAAAGACTCACAGAAATGACCTGGGTTCATAACGAAATATGAATGAAGCTGTAATGGGGACACACAATTCATTTAGTAGTATGGAGTATTGTTTCATTTCCCCGTTTAAGCTCACACTGAAAGGAAGCCTCTGCCTGCCAACATCACGGAACTGTGCCACTGAGTCTTTGTGATTCCAGGGGCAGCATCTTTACTGATGATTGCTCTGGCACACAAACAGTTTGTAATAAACTTCTAAACTCCTCTCTCACTCCTCTCTCACTCCTCTCATCCTCTGGATGGTTTACTGGGGAGCTGTTAAAGGTGAAAGGAACTGGGCACAACTTTGTTCACTTCCATTGAAATGAATGGTGAAATAATCATGTGATAAATTTGCGATCAACGTTTAAGATCTCTGAAACCAGGAAGACAAGAGCGGTAAATACAGGCCAGTTAACAGAGTGGTAATGAGCCAAGAGAGAGAGAGAGGGTGTGTGTTGTTTTCTTTATAATAATAATAATAATAATTTGGCAGGGTTCATTAAGAGATTCAGGGTAATATTAAATAATAACAATACTTATAATCATATAATTTTAATTATTACAATAATGTTGATAATCTTAGGAAAAAAAAAAGAAGGAATGTTGTATTGATGAAAACAATACTAATGCTTATCCTCTTCTTTTTTGCCACCAATATTATTTATAATACAGCAATAACAATACTATTATCATCCTCATAACGCTCACCAATAATAATGATGGTCATCACTAATAATGCAGGTCACCATCAGGGGCGATTCCAGATCAGATCGGCAGGGACATTCAGGCCGAACCCGCTGGGTTATTGTTTCATTTATTAAAAGTTATTAAATATCAACAATCCCCTTTTTTCTCTCAGTCTGCACAAAATATCCTGTATGTACAACAACAGTGCATCACCATGAATTAAGAAAGTAACGGCTATTACATCGGATTATTATGGATTACTTTTGTTGAGTGCCAAACCAATCATCTTGTAATAAAAACGAACCAATAATAATCCCCACCTTTTCTTCACTGTCATCATCACAGACTTCACACTGTCTGCTGCAGGTTACACTGGGACACGGCCCAAAGAGACTGCTGACAAGCAC